AAAATAAGTATAGAGACAAAAATGACCACAAATATCGACTTTTAGTACAAATCTGGCATAACTGTGTAATGTAATAATGTTAAGCCGTGAAAATAGAGAAACCGCAGTTGTAATATTTAGCATTGTGTCTGCAATGTCGCATCTTTGTGCAGAGCAGGAGTTGTTAAAATAAAATGCCTTGTATTTGGCACTTTCTCCATTTGGTGATTTTAATGGAAGTTTTACACTGTGTCCATATTTAAATGAAGGATTAGGACACAGCATATATCCAAAAGCTGACTAGCTCTTATATACTCAGTGTATATACCCCTAAAAACATACACAAAGACGATGCAGTCTTTATGTTTTCTTATATCACGTCACACATACACACAGAGAAACGCATTAGTATGCAGATATGGCCCTTGACATTTATACTCACAGGCAAGTGAACAGACACTTCTTCAGGCCAACACATCGGCACACATGTTCACACATACAGCCACTTTCCTGCAGAAACAGTGGTCCTGCCAGCTGTGTTGCTGTGGTAAGGAGATAACAGGAAACTCTAATCACAGGTCTTCTCTCAATCCATTCCATAACACCCCTGATGGGAGTCTCCCTGGGGTGGAGAATGAGAGGGTATAGCAGACATCACACTAACAATAGGCCATGCTAGAGGTGTTGAAATTGGATCTAAAGTTTGCATTCGACACAGGCTTTTGTATCGTACCTGTGTACCAAAAGTGCACTGATAAAAAATTAACCACACAAATCTTTTTTTCAATTCAAGCAGCATTTGACAAGAAATAATATGAACAATGACGGCTTTGTGAAGAAAGGAGGAAAAGGGGTGCAACTGCAGTACTGAAACATTGTGATCAAAACTGAGCACCCTCTGAGAAGGTAGGGTTGAGAGCAGGGCTGCAGTGCACAGTCATGATTGATGCATTACTCTGCCCTGGTTGTCTGCACACAAGAACAGGAAGACTGTGGCAATTTTACCCAATTCCAGTGTAAAACTTATTTTTTCTCTTCACTTTCCCACTCCTGTTTTGTCTCTCTATGCACTTGCAATATGAAGAGCTCATCCTTTGCTATTAAAAAGCCTCTTATGTGTGCAGACAGTAAGAAGCAAGCGTGAAAATCATTTTTAGCATTAAAGGGCTCTTACTGTCCTACACATAGAATATAAACTATCTCTTCCAGAGAATACAGATTATTTCATCCCATTTCCTGCTGCCTTTTAATATGCTGCACACAATCACATCGTAACTGTGACATGCACCATTCCGTTTTTCTATCCTTTGTTGCTAGATACCTAAAAAGCAAAAATGAAATGCTGTTTCATCCCCAGAGATGAGATGTACTTCTGCCTCTGAAATCTGTTTATTTTTAGAAGAGTCACTTGAGACAAAACATTTGCTAAATGTATATGGTCTAATATATCAGGATGAATTTGCTCAGAAATGCACATCCCTTCTTGTCAAGGTCAATACCTTCCCTGACTCAGAAATCCTATTAGCGGAGATCCACATTACCTGCTTTAGTGCAGTTTAATAGGGTAATGAGTCTCAGTGGTGATATTCAAACACAGAGGGAAGGAAACCTCACGGGAAATTGTTGATTAAGAAGACTTATAAAGTACTAAAATGCCTTAATTTGTAAATCACACCCTAAAAACGACTCAAAAGAGTAATAGAACTTTTTCAGCCTTTATGGATTGTAGATACAAAGACTCAGCACTGAACTTGGATTACTTTGTTTTTGTGAGTTTCAAAATTATGGAAATACTTGCCGTATTTTTCAGACTATAAGACGCACCGAATTATAAGGCACATTACGTGAAATAAAACAGTCAGATAAGCCAAACTTTATTCAACTCTTTCTTCTTGCTTCCTCCACTTCCGTACCATTCATTCATTAATGTTGAATTCTCTCGCAGCTGCTCTATTCCCATGTTGTTGCAGTATATTAATGACTAACCTCGTATTCTGGAAGGATTATCTC